TAGACATCAAACATCTAGAATTAGAACAAAATTGGGTGAGCTTTTTATAGTCCTGTGAGCCTCAGGCCCCATCTACCATGCCATGTAATACTGGGCTGCTGTGAGTTTTCTGGGTTGCATGGCCATGTTCCCTTGATGTTTCACCCACCTCTACAGCAGTCATCCTCAGAGATTGTGAGGTCTGTTAGACTAGGCAAGTGAGGTTTATATATCTGTGGAATGTCCAGAGTGGGAGAAAGAACTCTTGTCTGTTTAAGGCAGGTGTGAATGTTGCAATTGGCAGCCTAGATAAAAATCAAATGGCCTTGCAGCTTCAAAGCCTGGCTGCTTCCTGCCTGGAGGAATCCTTTGTTGGGAAATGTTAGCTGGCCCTGATTGTTTCCTGTCTGGAATTCCCTGTTTTTTGAGTGTAGACTCATATCATGTAGTTCAATGCAGAAACAAAATTCTGTGAGACTACACTGGCCATATAACGCAGTTTCAATCTGCATTATATGGCAGTGTTAATGGGGCATCCATTCTAAAACTATTGTGATCCTAGACTTATGGCTATAATATGTTAAGTGATGTCTGTTAGCTAGAGCAATGAAAGTATTGCAGGGGTCATTTGCCTATTTGTTATTTTATCTTACCTTTCTGTCTTTCTGAGTTTTTTTTTCATGTTACTGCAGCCATGGGCAAACTTCAGCCCTCCAGGTGTTTTGGACTTCACTCACAATTCCTAACAGCCTCAGGCCCCTTCCTTTTCCCCCTCAGCCTGCGTCAAATATTATTAATTCAACAGGTTAAGCGGCTGAGGGGGGAAAGGAAGGGGCCTGAAGCTGTTAGGAATTGTGGGAGTTGAAGTCCAAAACACCTGGAGGGAAGACCCAAGTTTGCCCATGCCTGCTACATGCATTGATTTAATATACATAAAGTGAGGTGTTTAAGAAGCACAGTCCGATATATCCACTTCTTTCCTTTCTCAAATAAGGCTATACAGTATTCCTCCTGCTCAAATTGGAATGTTTTCTATCCTACTGGATAACTTTCAGCTAGGCTTGATTTTTAGGGCAAACCAAAACAAGGTGTGTTCATGTTTGAAAATAAAGGTGCCAGTATTAATTGGCTTGGTTGCACATTGTAAACAAACAACTATAAAAAAACAGAGATTTGTATACAGATTTATTTTTAACCTCAATTCATTTGAAAATGACCTACAGCATTATAAATATATTTTAGTTTTATTTCATTAAATATTATTTAAAGTATTTTTAAATTGTTTTGAAGCAGTATGGCATTGAAAACAACCCTGTTGAGCATAGGAAATACATCAATGAATATATTATTTTTACTACATTATATTATTATTATTATTATTATTATTACTATATTATTTTATATTAATTGAAGAGATTTAAAGTATTTTAAAATTATTTTGAAGTGGTATGACATTCAAAATAATCTTGTTCAGCATAGGAAACAAATAAATGAATTTATTATTTTAATATATTATTATATTATTATAAATTATTATTACTATATTATTTTTGTTAATGGAAGAGATTTGAAGTATTTTAAAATTATTTTAAGTGATATGACATTCAAAACAATCTTATTCAACATAGGAAATGGATCAAGGAATATATTATTTTATTATATTATTATTATTATTATATTATTTTATGTTAATGGAAGAGATTTAAAGTATTTTAAAATTATTTTGAAGTGGCAGGACATTCAAAACAATCTTGTTCAGCATAGGAAATAGATAAATTAATTTATTATTTTACTATATTAATATTATTGCGACTATAATATTTTATGTTAATGGAAGGGAAAATAACTCCCACGCATTGTATTGATACAGCTAAACAACAGACCTCACAACTTCTGAGGATACCTGCCATAGATGCAGGTGAAATGTCAGGAGAGAATGCTTCTGGAACATGGCCATACAGTCCAGAAAACTCACAGCAACCCAGACAACTGTTTAATATAATTGGATGGGTTGCATTAATTTTGAATGCACAAAGTTGCAAATTGAAGCCCACTTCTGCCAGTTTCAATTCATAGTTTAGTGAAATATAATCTCTTGATTTTACTGTTTCCTTTTAATAGATGTAATACAATTAGTTTTAATGTGTCATTCGCTTTGCTTTCAATCTCTCACCTCTTTACTGCACATGTTTACCCTTTTCAGGGTTGAGAGAAATAGCATAGAAATGGCATTACATAGAGCTAATTAATTACTGCAGGAAAAGGAATGCATTTAAAAGAGACACGATTCTAAGTGAAGGTTTTGAAATGGGAGTTTTTCCTTCCAAGTCGTTTTACCTTTGCATCTAGTTAAATAGTAAACATTTAATACAACTGGGTTGTTGTGAGTTTTCAGGGGACACCTCACAACCTCTGAGGATGCCTGCCATAGATGTAGGCGAAATGTCAGGAGAGAATTCTTATGGAACATGGCCATACAGCCCGGAAAACCCAGTGATTCCGGCCATGAAAGCCTTCGACTAAATTTCACTGAACTATGGGTTGAAATTGGCAGAAGTGGGCTTCAATTTGCAACTTTGTGCATTCAAAATTAATGCAACCCATCCAATTGGATTAACCGGTTATTCGGGTTGCTGTGAGTTTTCCGGACTGTATGGCCATGTTCCAGAAGCATTCTCTCCTGACGTTTCGCCTGCATCTATGGCAGACATCCTCAGAGGTTGTGAGGTCTGTTGTTTAGCTGTATCGATACAATGCATGGGGGTTATTTTCTCTTCCATTAACATAAAATAATGTAGTAATAATATTAATAATATAATAATATATTGAAATAATAAATTTAATACAACATTGCACTTCTCATAATATGTATGCCCACGTCTTTCCCTTGAAATGCATATAATTTACACACTTTGAATCCTTCCTTGCTTCTGTTTGGTCACCTGATAGCCCTCGGAGCCTAGTTAATGTAAACACGCATCTTTATGTCAGCCTTTCAAACGATATTTTCAAGTCAAATGAACGATTCAAATACTTAACGCGGAGTTTGGCATTCAGGACAAAAATTTGCAGAAGGCCCACATGATGGAAGTGGTTTTTGCCCAGGAGGAGGATTTTGTCCCTGGACCAGGATCCTCACTGGGGGCCCTTCCACACAGCCACATAACCCAGAATATCAATTCAGAAAATCCCACAATAACTACATTGAATTGGAATATATGGCAGTGTGAACTCAGATAACCCAGTTCAAAGCAGATATTGTGGAATTTTCTGCCTTGATATTCTGGGTTATAGGGCTGTGTGGAAGGGCCCTGGGTCTCCTTGGTTACCAAGGCATATTCTCTCAGCCTCAGAGGAAGGCAAAGGCAAGGCCCCTCGGACACATCTTGGGCCAAGCAAAAATAAATAAATAGCAAAAATCGAAAACGACTTCAAGGCGGGTTCCTACGTGAATCCCAATGCCTTCTATCAGTCTGACCATTAGAACTAACAGGAACCTGTCAGGAATTCTAGTTTTTAAAAATGTGGAAGAAAAGAAAAGGAAAGAAAGGGGAAGGGAAGAAAAGAGAAAGGAAGGGAAGGGAAGAGAAAGAAAGGAAAGGAAAGAGAAGGAAAAGAAAGGAAGGGAAACGAAGGGAAGGGAAAGAAAGGAAAGAGAAAGGAAGAAAAGAGAAAGAGAAAGGAAGGAAAGACAAGGAAAGGAGAGGAAAGGAAAGGGAAAGGAAGGGAAGGAAAGGGAAGCGAAAGGAAGGGAAGGGAACAAAAAGAAGGAAGGAAGGAAAGAGAGAGGAAGGAAAGGAAAAAGGGAAGGAAAGAAAGGAAAGGAAAAGAGGGGAAGGAAAGGGAAGGAAAGAAAAAGGAAGGATGAGAAAGGAAATGAAGGGAACGGAAGGAAAGGAAAAGGAAGGAAAGAGAAAAGAACGAAAGGGAAGGGAACGAAAGGAAAGGGAACGAAAGAGAAGGGAATGAAAAGAAAGGGAAGGAAAGGGAAGGAAATGAAATGAAAGGAGTTCATTCGAATTTGAATAACCTCGAAAGAACCGGGGTGATTTTATTGGTGAACTGGAAGAAACCCGAATTGGTGGCACCTTTCCAAACGAAGGAGAGGGAACCCTTCCTTTATTGCGTTTCCCTCCTTTCCCTCCCCTCCCCTTCCTTTTCCCCTCACCCTTCCTGCCCCCCCCCCGCCTTAACAGGAATAGAAGCCCCCCCCCCCCAACCAGGGAAGCAGACCCGAACTCACCTGCCAAGGCAGTATTTTCTATTATTGTGGCTATTAGTCCTCTTCTAATCATTAGCATTATTATATTGCTGCTTCTTCTTCGTCCTGCTCCTTTTCTTCCTCTTCCTCCTCCTGGCTTCTTTTTCTCTTGCTCCTTCCTCCTCTTTTTCTTCCTCTTCTTATTCTTCTACTTCCTCCTTTTCTTCCTGCTTCTCGCTTTCTCCTCCTCCTCGCCTTCTTCTTCTTCCTCTTCCTCCTCCTCCTCCTTCTTCTCCTTTCCCTCCTTCTTCTTCCTTTTTCCTCTTCCTCTTCTTCCCTTCCCTTTTCTTCCTTCCTTTCCTCCTCCTCCCCTCTCTTCCTCCTCCCTTCTGCTTTCTCCCCCTTCTCCTTCTGCTTCGTTTCCTCCTCCTCGTCCTCTTCTTCCTCCTCTTCCTTCTCTTATTGTTGTCCTTCCTCCTCCTCTTTCTTATTCGTGGGCAACTATACCCCCCTCCCTTGCAATGGTCCACCCCAGCCAGCCAGCCTCCCCTCAATTGCCCTGCTCTTCCCCTCCCTCCCTCCCTCTCTGGAGCCCACTCCCTCCCTGCCGAAGGGGTCCCGCTTCCTCTCTTCTTCCTCCTCCTCCTCTTCCTCCCTCCCCCGCCCCTCCTGCGCCGTTCCCCGCCAACCCCTTCGGCTTTGGGGGCATCCCTAATCGCGGCCGGTCCCTGTGATTGGCTGCGGGGCTCTGACCCCACTCGGGCGCGTATAAAAAGGGCCCCGAGGCGGGGGCTGCCCGGTATTATTCCCCGAGGCCGGTACCAGGCAGCAGCGGCAGCGGCATCCTCAGCATGACGGGCAAAGCCGGGGACGCGCTGGCCCACGCCAGCCTCCCCGCCAAAGGCAAAGCCCCCGAGGAAGGGGCCCAGCCGCTCCCCCCGCCTCCTCCCCCTCCTCCCTCGTCCACCAACGCCGGGAGCCAAGCCGGGCCCAAGCCGCCCTCTTCGGGCCCCGCCGCGGCGCCCCGCTGCACGGGCTTCGGCATCCAGGAGATCCTGGGCTTGAACAAGGAGCCCTCGCCGCTGCCTCCCGCCCCTTCTCCGCAGCACCAGGCCGCCTTGCTGCCGCCCCAGTCCCGCGGCGCCTTGGACGCCTTGCCCGCGGGGCACCTGCTCTCGGCTCGCGCGGTGGGCGGCGTGGGCCTGGGCCTGCTCAGCGCCGCCGGGGGCCTCCCGGGCTTCTACGCCCAGCCCACCTTCCTCGAGGTCTTGGCCGACCCGCCGGGGGTCCACCTGCAGCCCTTGGGACGCGGGCCCGCCCCTCGCATGGACGCCGGCCAGACCGCCAGCTCAGGTAGACCCGCCGAGAGAGAACGAGGAGCTCCGCAACCCGGGATGGAAGACAGACCCTGCCCTGGGAAACCCGGGAATCCAGTCGATGACACAAAATACAGAGCGCTCGTGGGAGTTTGATGCTCGGCCGCTGAGTGAAGCAGTCAGGGGAAGCTGGCTTCGAACTGCATTGAAGGGTCAGGGTAGATCAGGCCGAGGGAAAGTTTCTCACTTGGGGGCCGCATGCTAGCCCCCCCCCCCCCCCCCCCCAAGGGAATCAAGTATGGAAGGAAAGGAGGAAGGGAAGGAAAAAGGGAGGAAGGGAGGGAGGGAAGGTGGAAGAGAAAGAGGAAGGAAAGGGAGGGAGGGAGGAAGGAAGAGAAGAAGGAAGGAAGGACGAAAAGGGAAGGAAGGATGGGAAGGAAGAGGAGAGGAAGGGAAAGGGAAGGAAGGGAGGAAGGAAGGAAGGGGGAAAGGGAGGAGGAAGGAGGAAAGAAGGAAGGGAAGGGAGAGAGGAAGAGAGTGAGGAAGAAGAAAAGGGGGAAGGAAGGAAGGAAGGACGAAAGGGTGGAAGGAAAGGATGAAAGGAAGGAAGGAAGAAGGAAAGAGAGAAGGAAGGAAGGGGCGAAAGGAAGGAAGGGAAGGATGGACGGAGAAAGAGGAGGGGAAGGGAAGAGAGAGGTGAGAAGGAAGGAAGGAAGGACGAACGAAAGGGTGAAGGAAAGGAAGGAAGGAAAGAAAGAGAGAAGGAAGGAAGGACGAAAAGGAGGAAAGAAAGGCTGGAAAGGAAAGAGGAAGGAAAGAGAAAGGAAAGGAGGGAGGAAGAGAAGGAGGAAGGAAAGAAGGAAGGAAGAACGAAAAGGTGGAAGTGAACGAAGGGAGGGAGGGAAAGAGGAAGGAAAAGAGAGAAGGAAGGATAGGATGGAAAGAGAGAGGAGGGCCTGAGAAAAGAGCCCAAAGGTCCGCAATCTGGCCCCTGGGCCCGGGTTTGCCCATACCTGGTGTAGATGGAGCTGAAGAGAGAGGAAGACTCCGTCTTTTCTGTAGGTCAGGACACCCCACTCCCCTTTAAGAAGGGGACGATTGATGCAGCTTCGATGCCTGGAGGGCTTTTTACAAACAGCAGGGATTTGTGGTCAGACACCTCTTTGGGATTCCTCCTCGAATCCACCTACATTAGGCATAGACAATTTTGGGCCCTCCAGGTGTTTTGGACTCCAATTCCTACCATTCCTAACACCCTCAGGCCCTTTCCTTTTTCTTTTCCACTTAAGCGGCTGAGGGAGAAAAGGAAGGGACCTGAGGCTGTTAGGAATGGTAGGAATTGGAGTCCAAAACACCTGGAGGGGCAAAGTTGGCCCTCCCTACATCACCATTTAATGCAGTTCGAATCTAGCTCCCAATATCACCGGCCAGGCAACCAACTCCCACCAAAGCCAGCAAGTTATTGTCCAAGACTTTCATGGCCGGAATCACTGGGTTATTGTGAGACTTCCGGGATGTATGGCCATGTTCCAGAAGCATTCTTTCCCGAAGTTTCGCCTGCAGCTATGGCAGGCATCGTCAAGGGTTGTGACACCTTACAAGCAACTTCTAGGGATGCCTGCAACAGATGCAGGCGAAACGTCAAGAGAGAATGCTTCTGGAACATGGCCATACAGCCCGGGAGACTCACAACAAGCCAGCAAGTTGCTTGCGGTTTGTGTCATCCCCACCCGGACCGCCTACTGGTTCCAGGACTTCCTAAGTCATCTTCTGTACCGCAAAAACAACTTACTCCAATACCGGTTTGAAACTGCATTCAGTGCCTAGTGTAGATGAGGCCTCGGGCTTGACGCTTGCTGGTCCTGAAGTGTTCGTCTATCTATCTATCTATCTATCTATCTATCTATCTATCTATCTATCTATCTATCTATCTATCTATCTCGCCACGCTCAGATCCACTCCCTCCCAAATTAATGTTCACGAGTGATCTTCGTCAGGGAAAATAGGGAGGGAGATAAGATTTCTAAGTCAAATAATCTGGCATCTCGAGGGTTCTGTTTTGTTTTGTTGTTTTTTTTTGGGGGGGGGGGGACACGAATTACAACGAAATAGGGCTTTTCCAAGGGCTCTTCCACACAGCCCAGTATATCAAGGCAGGAAATCCTCTCAACCTCTGAGGATGCTTGCATAGATGCAGGCGAAACGTCAGGAGAGAATGCTTCTAGAACATGGCCATATAGCCAAAAGTCATTTAAAAGTCTACATGGCCAAAACCTACAACAACCTAGTGATTCCAGCCATGAAAGCCTTCGACATTCCCACAATAGCTGCTTTGAAGTGGGTTATCTGAGGCCCTTGTACTGGAATATATGGCAGTGTGGACACAGGGCCCTTCCACATAGCCCTATATCCCTGAATTTCAAGGCAGAAAATCCCACATTATTTCAGTGTGGACTCGGATAACCCACTTCAAAGCAGATATGGTGGGATTTTCTGCCTTGATATTCTGGGATACAGGGCTGTGGGGAAGAGCCCTGAGTCCACACTGCCATATATTCCGGTACAAAGCAGATGCGTGGAAGGGGGCTAAGAATTACAAGAAGTTGCGGGGTTTGGGGGGATTTTAAAAAAGGAAAAAGTAGGAAACGAATAATTAGAAAGACCAAACACAATTAAAAAAATAAATTCAGAGGAATAAACCCTTGCCCTTTTCCTAACGGGGGAGGAAAAAACAGCCACTTTTTAAAGGTGTCGAAGGCATGAATTCCCACCCGTGGCTTTTTATTTTGATCCGCTTTTTACACCGAAATGCTCTGTTGAGGATCACAGCGTGTGTGTGTGCTTTGGAGTCGCATGAATTCCACAGGATTTTTCCTAGGCAAGGAAGACTCCTTCAGAAAGACAGCCTACTAGAGAATGAGGATGTACCTACTATATGTTATATCAGGCATGGGCCCAACCTCGGCCCTCCAGGTGTTTTGGACTTCAACTCCCACAATTCCTAACAGCCGGTAGGCTGTTAACAATTGTGGGAGTTGAAGTCCAAAACACCTGGAGGGCCGAAGTTGGGCCCATGCCTGCGTTATATCATGTCTGGAGCGTCAATACTCTATCGAAGATGAGTTAAATGTAGAGAGCAAGAGAACTCATCTGTCAAAACAAGGAATTTAAGGCTTGGGTTGTGAGTTTTCCTGGGTTGTATTTCTATGTCCCAGAAGCATTCTCTCATGACGTTTCGCCTGCATCTATGCCAGGCATCCCTAGAGGTTGTGAGGTCACTTTTCTGGTGGATGCCTGCCATAGGTGCAGGCGAAACGTCAGGAGAGAATGCTTCTGGAACACGGCCATACAGGCAGAAAATTCACAACAACCTAGTGATTCCAGCCATGAAAGCTTTCAATACAATACAACTTAAGGCTTGTCTAGGCCAGGGCTTCTTAAAACTTTCCCCACTCGGGACCCCTTTCCACCCGAGGAATGTTTACATTACTCCAGGTATATCTTCTATATAAATAAAAATGTAATGTTCGTTTGTGGGATTAACATAACACAAAAACCACTGGACGAATTGGCACCAAATTTGGACACAATACACGTATCAGGCCAACAAGTGATATGTTTATTCATATCATGATCTGATCACTATACTCAATATATCCCATATGCATGGGGGTATTGGGGTAACGATACAAAAGGTTTGCTAGGGTAGACCCTCTTTCACTCAGACTCAGCCCCCCCCCCCGAAACAAACTCACCCCCCCCCCCCCCCCGAATCGAAATCCTGGCTACGGGTCTGCAACAGATTAATATAAAAGTTGGACTGGAAGGAATTTTGCTTATTTATGATTTACTAGCCGTCCCCTGCCACGCATTACTGTGGCCCAGTCTGTGTATATGTGTTTTGTGTGTGTATATATGTGTATATCTGTGCGTATATATGTGGGTTTGTGCATGCATTGTAATGTATTTTTTATTTTTATTTTATTTTTTGGTTTTTTAAATCTGTTCTGCTGTGTTTCTCAGTATTTTTATGAGAGATGGTCATTTGTTGGCCTGATAGTTGTATTGTGTCCAAATTTGGTGTCAGTTCACCCAGTGGTTTTGGAGTTATGTTAATCCCACAAACGAACACACACACACACACACACACGTTACAACGCATGCACAAAACCACATATATATAAGCAAACACATATATACACAAATATATCCATACACATATACATACACAAAACACATATACACAAAGTGGACCACAGCAATGCTTGGCAGGGGACGGCTAGTCTTCTATATAAATAAAAATGTAATGTCCCTTTGTGAGATTAACATAACTCAAAAACCACGAATTGACACTAAATTTGGACACAATACGCCTATCAGGTCAACGATTGACAATCACTCATAAAACACTGAAAAACACAGCAGAAGAGACTTAAAAAGCAAAAAAAAAAAAAACCAAAAAAAAACCACATTACAAAGTATGCGCAAAACCACATATATCTGTGCAAATACACATATACACAAATATATACACACACAGCCTGGGGTGTCAGGGGACGGCTAGTAGCTATATAAAATAGGTATAAAAACCAAACGTTTGCTGAAAATCTGTGAGTGGATTTGCGGGGTGTCTCCTTTCCCCTCCGGAAAACGAAACAGGAGCCCCGGAAATGCTCAGAGCCCCATTCTCGCCCCAAAAGTGCCCCCCGCCCCAAATATCCCTTCCCTAGAGGTCTTTGCCCCTCTCCATCGCCGCCTCGCTTTCTCTCCCACCCAGATTCAGAAGATGTCTCCTCCAGCGACCGGAAAATGTCCAAATCTTCCTTAAACCAGAGCAAGAAGCGGAAGAAGAGGCGGCACAGGTAAGGCTGTCTTCTCACCCCTTTTGGAGCCGGATTGTGGTGATGGGGAGTCTTGTTTGGGGTGTATTTACACTGTAGAGTTAAGGCAGTTTGACGCCACTTTTGCTGCCATGACTCAAGACTATATGGAATCCTAGGAGATGTTTTATAACAGGCCTGGACAATCGTTTTGGACTCCAACTCCCACCATTCCTAACAGCCTCAGACCCTTTCCTTTCCCCCTCAAAGGAAAAGGCCTGAGGCTGTTAGGAATGGTGGGAGTTGGAGTCCAAAACACCTGAAGGGACCACGATTGCTCAGGCCTGTACTAATAACACAGCCCCCTTCCACACAACTGTATAAAATCCCACATTGTCTACTTTGAACTGGGTTATATGGCAGTGTGGACTCAGATAATTCGAAGCGGATATTGTGGGATTTTCTGCGTTGCTATTGTGTGGAAGGGCCCTAAGACACAAAGCAACACACAAAGTGGAGCTGGGAGAGGCGCTGGCGATACATTTCTTCCCTCCAGTCAAACCGTTGTTGTCGTTGTTGTTGTCGTTGTCGTTGTTGTTGCTGCAGTTGCTTGGGGAGCGTCTATGCTGTAGAACGAATGCAATGTATTGTCGAAGGCTTTCATGGCCGGAATCAGTGGGTTGTTGTAGATTTTTCGGGCTGAATGGCCATGTTCCAGAAGTCTTCTCTCAAACCTCACAATCTCTGAGGATGCTTGCCACAGATGCAGGCGAAACGTCAGGAGAGAATGCTTCTAGAACAGTGGTTCTCAACATGTGGGTCCCCAGATGTTTTGGCCTTGGACTCCGAGAAATCCTAACAGCTGGTAAACTGGCAAGGAGTTCTGGGATTTGTAGGCCAAAACACCTTGCCACCCACAGGTTGAGAACCACTGTTCTAGAACATGGCCATACAGCCCGAAAAACCTACAACAACCCAGAACGAAGGCAGTTCGACTGCCATGGCTCAGTCCTGGGATGTGGAGCTTGGGGAGGCGGCAGAACCCTTTTGCAGAGAAGGCTGAAAACCTTGTAAACCCACAGATCTCTGTGGGCCCCTCCACACAGGGTTCAAAGCAGATAATGTGGGATTTTATTTAGCTGTGCGGAAGGAGCCTTAGAAATACCAGTAAAGGGCGAGAGCCCTGCTTTTCCCTCCTCTTGACTGATCTGTGCGGCTGCCCTGGACCACTTTCCCTTCTGTTTCAAGTCCTCCTTCCCAGGGAGATCATGTAATCCTTGCCACCCTTCGCCTCGGAGATCCGATCCGTTATCCTAAAACCAGGTTGGAGGGAGATTTCAACGAGAAACCGAGGGCCCTTCCACACAGCCCTATATCCCAGAATATCAAGGCAGAAAATCCCACAATATCTGCTTTGAACTGGTTTATCTGAGTCCACACTCAGATAATGTGGGATTTTCTTCCTTTCCTCTTTTCTGTTTCCTTTCCTTTTTCCTTCCCTTCCCTCTTCCTTTTCCTTTTGCCTTTCCTTTCCCCTTTCCTTTTCTTTTTCCTTTCCCCTTTCCTTTCCTGTTTCCCTTCCTTTCCCCTTTCCTTTCCTCTTTCCTCTCCTTTCCTCTTCCCTTTCCTTTCCCCTTTCCTTTCCCTTCCTTTTCCTTTCCCCTTTCCTTTCCCCTTTCCTTTCCCCTTTCCTCTCCTTTCCTCTTTCCTTTCCCCTTTCCTTTCCCTTCCTTTGCCTTTCCCCTTTCCTTTACCTTCCCTTCCTCTTTCCTTTTTCCTGTCCTCTCCTTTTTCCTTTCCTCTTTTCTGTTTCCTTTCCTTTTTCCTTCCCTTCCCTCTTCCTTTCCCCTTTCCTTTTTCCTTTTCTTTTTCCTTTCGCTTATACAAACGCCTCTATATATAGTAAGTATAGTGTATGGGCCTTTTGGTGCGAATCGCACTTAGTGGACGAAAAAAACTTAGGATTGCATGACGGGTTATTCTTGTGTTTGTCGAAAATGGGGTTTAATTCCGGCTGGCGCTTCTGCGCTACTCTGATAGCGAATTTTCAAGATCCTGCCAACGTGACATAGGCGGTTTTTCGGGAGATATGGTGAGCCTTCCACCCGCCCTGTACCCAGAATATCAGCGAAGGAAATCCCAAAATGTGTACATGAGTGGTGGACCGCTATGGAACCCATGCGGCCTATCCACCGAGGAAGGACAAGCTGAGAATTCCACCTCTATGCTTTGAACTGTAATATATGCCAATGTGGACTCAGCTAGCCCAGTTCATAGCAGATATTGTGGGATTTTCTGCCTTGATATTCTGGGTTATAAAACTGTGTGGAAGGGCCCCCAGTTCAAAGTAGATATTGTGGGATTTTCTGCCTTGATATTCTGGGTTATAGGGCTGTGTGGAAGGGACAGGGAGGGAAGGAAGGAGAGAGAAAGTGGCCCCAAATGGGGTCTCCATGCTGTAGCCTCCGGGGGCTATCGCATCTTCAGGGCGTCTCTTTCCAAAAGGAAGACGGCATCGAAATCCCAGTTTGTATCAGTGATGCCAGGAGGGAAAAGCTCTCCAAAGGCTGCCATGATGTCTTGGCTTTCGGAGACAAAGAGGACTCTCTTTGGGAAGATTTTGAGGGGAAATAATCAAGTCATTTTTGAGAATGTGGTTGGCACCAATTATATAATTTCCAGTCATCATGGAAAAGCTGTGGGTCCCTATTCCTCATGGAGAAATGGGGACAAGAACTTCCCGGCTGAGGATTGGATTCCTCATTTTAATCAAGATTCGATTGGGAAGCGATTTTGTTTAGATTGTGAAATTGTCTCAGAATCTGAGAACTGTCTCTTGTATGAACAATTCTGGCGGCTTAATTTTGTGTTATTGACCCCATCTAGTCATTCTTGTTTTAAATGCTGAGAGGGATTTAAAAATCCTCATGTGTGGGTTGTTGTTGGTTTTTCGGGCTGTATGACCGTTTTCAAGAAACATTCTTTCCTGATGTTTCGCCTCAATCTGTGGGAAGCATCCTCAGAGGTTGTGAGGTCTGTTGGAAACTAGGAAAAATTGGGTTTATATATCCTAGTTTCCAACAAGCCTCAGAACCTGAGGATGCTTGCCACAGATGCAGGCAAAACGTCAGGAGAGAATGCTTCTAGAACATGGCCATATAGCTCGAAAAAACTACAAGGACCCAGTGATTCCAGCCATGACAATACCTTTAACATCTCATGTGTGGGTTTTTCATGTCATGATTTGATGTAATCTGTTATATGTCCCTTTGTTGGCATTTAATGTTTGCCATATGTGTTAGAAACTGCCTTGAGTCCCTCCTAATCTGTATACAAATAAATTATTAATATTTAATATTTAATATTAATATTATTAAAATCACCTCTTTTATTTTTAGCAAATGACTGAGGGCCCTTCCACACAGCCCTATATCCCAGAATATCAAGGCAGAAAATCCCACATTATCTGTTTTGAACTGGAATATATGTCACTGTGGACTCAGATAACCCAGTTCAAAGCAGATATTGTGGGATATTCTGCCTTAATATTCTGGGATATAGGGCTGTGTTGAAGGGCCCTTAGATTGTATTCCTCTTTTGAAGCTCTATTTCATATTAGTTTGAATTTGTTTATGTGCTAATGCAGGTATGGGCAAACTTGGGCCCTTCAGGTGTTTTGAACTCCAACTCCTACAATTCCTAACAGCCTTATCGGCTGTTAGGAATTGTGGGAGTTGAAGTTCAAAACACCTGGAGGGCCCAAGTTTGCCTATGCCTGTGCTAGTGTCTATTTGGGCACACAGAAATCTGGCAAAAATATTGGAAGGCAGACTGCTTCCAAGGGACATTTCTCATAGAAAGGGTTCCATGCTTCAGAAACCAGATTTGGAAAATGCTCATTCAGGTTGGCAGCATGTCAGGATCATGAGTGATATTCTCATGCTTTCTCATCTACAGATATTATTCTTCTCCTGGAGTTGTACTTCCATGTATCTGATATCTGATGCTACTGTTGATGTGTCTGTAAAGTGAGAAGGATCGGTTTACTTTGTGTATTTATTTAAATGTGCCCTTAGTGCACTGTTGATGTGTCTGTAAAGTGAGAAGGATTTGTTTACTTTGTGTATTTATTTAAGTGTGCCCTTAGTGTACAAGTCATCATAGATTTTACTAGGTCAGGGATTTTATAAGAATTAGCAGATTAGGAGGAATGGATCATTTTCTCAATGTGAGGGTAAAGGAGTTAAGGACAATATTATTCACTATGGGTTGAAATACCTACAGTCTGTTGTGAGAGGAATCTCTGGGTTGTTGTGAGTTTTCCAGGTTGTGAGGCCATGTTCCAGAAGCATTCTCTCCTAATGTTTCACCTGCATCTATGGCAGGCATCCTCAGAGGTTGTGAGGTTTCACAACTTCTAAGATCAGACCTCACACCCTCTGAGGATGCCTGCTACAGATGCAGGCAAAATGTCAGGAGAGAATGCTTCTGGAACATGGCCATACAGCCCGGAAAATTCACAACTACCTTCAGTCCGCTTCCTGGGCATTACTGGAGAAAGATTTCCATTTGAAAAGCCTGATTTCATTGCTCTATTACAGTAACAACAAATGGCAGCATATTTTATTCTTTAACTATGAGTTATAAGGGAACAAAATCTATATTTCTCAATTTCAAGACATGGCTTTGGAACCAATTTTACAAAATTAAAAGACACTGAAATAGATCCACCTTGGTGGATTTGAAAGGAGCAAAGTAAGGAACTTGGGACATTTTGCTTCAATTCTATGGGACATATAATAATGTACCTTTCACAGAAGGAAGTAATTGCTGGTTCTAATTTTGGAAGTTATTTCAAATCAGTTTCAAACTTGTGTGTTATTATTAATTATGATTGCTTAAAAACTGTAATATCAGTCATTTAAGGTATTGCATGAGCCAACTGCTTTTATTGATATTATGGTAATCTATTGCAAGTGATTGCTTTGAAAATGAAAACAAAAACAAGGAGCCAATACAAAATCTTGCAGAATGGAAATATTGTTTATTTGTTTTAGGAAAGCAGAGAGTGCATTGATATATGGTATTTTGATACTGCTCAGAGAGATATAATGTGTACCTATGTATAAACAATCTGCTCCTTTAAAGAAATCATATATGTCTCTGTGTGTGTGAGAGAGAGAGCAACTTAATTTCACATTCCAGTTACAACACATTTTTTGCAAGAATGCTTCATTGATTGCAAATGAATTTACATCTAAATAGGGCTGTTTAGGATCACAGCATTCCTAAGCAAAACCAGATTCTATTTACAACAAAAACTCACTGCATATATAAAGAGATCTATCTACACATGGTTCATGTTTGCCACTATGGGATAAGGATAAAATTACACTGACTTCTTAGTTTTAACTCAGATGTTAAGGGTGGTACTATTTGTGGGTTTTTCCTTTCTTTGCATTGTATTTTATATGAAACAGTGGTTTCCCAACACCCATTTAAATATTTTACACATTTGGGGTTTTGAGAGAGCTTTATTGAAAATTAACAAGAGAAAAAACACAGGTGTGCAATGAGTTGCTACAGTAGTGAGATGCTCATAAGAGTTTCCCATTTCTCCTCCTGTCTCATTTTGAGCAACCCCTTTTCCTCATTTGTTATAATTGTCCTTCCACCTCATCTTTTGATTTCTGAGTATATTTTATAGACAGTCCCAGTCAAGATTGCATTTAGTCCAATGCCATGGTTTGACATACATACTTTACTCTTCTGTTTAATTAATTGGAAACGGATTCTCATTTTAGAATAAGAATTGGGTTGTTGTGAGTTTTCCGGGTTGTATGGCCATGTTTCAGAAACATACTCTCCTGACGTTTCGCCTGCATCTATGGCAGGCATTCTCAGAGGTTGTGAGGTCTGGGTTGTGAGTTTCCTGGGCTGTATGGCCATGTTCCAGAAGCATTCTCTCTTGATGTTTCACCTGCATCTATGGCAGGCATCCTCACAACCTCTGAGGGTGTTTGCTATACATGCAGGTAAAAAGTCAGGACGAATGTTTCTGGAACATGGCCATACAGCCCCAAAACCCCACAACAACCCAGTGATTCCGGCCCTCAACAATACATAGAATAAGAACTGTTCGCACTTCCTTCAGATTATGTGGGGCAGACTTCAACATAAACAAGGGAAGAATAATTTATCAAAGGGCTTTTCATTGCCATATTCATTGGTCATTTTATACAAATGTTATCTCCTCCTCCTCACTGTCTATATAATCACTATTTTGTAAATATGATTCTTTTTGGGTTGCTGTGAGTTTTCCGGGCTGTATGGCCATGTTCCAGAAGCATTCTCTCCTGACATTTCACCAGACATCCTCAGAGGTTGTAAGGTCTGTAGGAAACTAGGCAAATGGGGTTTATGTATCTGTGAAATGTCTAGGGTGGGAGAAAAAACTCTTGCCTGTTTGAGGAAGGTGTGAATGATGCAATTGGTCACCTTGATTAGCATTGAATAGCCTTGCCTGCTATATGCTTCTGGAACATATAGCATACTGCAACCCAGTGATTCTTGGATAACACAGTGATTCTCTTTCTTAGCTCTTTCTTTGGTCTCCTACTCTTTTAAAGTGCTCTGAGGGTGTAACGCTTTAATTTATTTTCATCAATGGGTTCTACTCCCTTTAGGACAATCTTCACATCCTATCAACTGGAGGAACTGGAAAAAGCATTCAATGAGGCCCATTATCCTGATGTGTATGCAAGGGAGATGCTGGCTATGAAAACAGAACTTCCTGAAGATAGGATACAGGTAATCATACTATTGTACACTTGGCAATAAATAGATACTAACACTCCTTCCCAACACACCTTCCTTTCTTCTAAAAAGGACAACCATTCTCTTTAAGACTAAAGCCATTCTCTAAGGACTTCTCCTGCAACTTAAATTTCACCAAAGCCAATATTAAATTATCAATGAGTTGATTATTCTGAATTGGGGTGCTTTGTTTTTGTTTGAAGTTGCACTGGCTGCTGCTGACTGTATTCATAGTAAAAGGCGAAAGATTTTTACGATCTGAAGAGAAACCAGATAATGGGAGAATACAAATCAGATTTTGTTATTGTTATCATGCCTACAGGGATTGTCATTGCTCCTGTAATTTGAAAGAGCTAATTTATAGAATACGTTTTAATGTTTATATTGGAAAGTGTATTCTGTACTTTTTAAAAGTTGTATATCATTTTATGTCATGGCCTATGGCTAGTACAATAAACATCTCAATCAAGATTGTATTCATAAATTATTTATACAGTAAGATATATTTGGGTTGTTGTGAGTTTTCCAGGCAGCATTTCCATGTTCAAGAAGCATTCTCTCCTGACGTTTCACCCACATCTCTGGCAGGCATCCTCAGAGGTTGTGAGATCTGTTGGAAACTAGGCAAGTGACGTTTATATATCTGTGGAATGTCCAGGGTGGGAGAAAGAACTCAGGTCTGCTTGAGGAAAGTGTGAATGTTGCAATTGGCCACCTTGATTAGCACTGAATGGCTTTGCAGACCTCACTTGCCTAGTTTCCAACAGACCTCACAACCTCTGAGGATGTCTGCTATAAATTTGGGCAAAACATCAGGAGAGAATGCTTCTAGAACATATCCATAGCCCGGAAAACTCACATCAACCCAGTGATTCTGGCCATGAAAGCCTTCGACTACACATTAAGATATATTTGTTTATTCAAATTAATGTATATCCTGCCTTCAAGACAGCTGATAAAACTACTAATTGCACGTAAGTTAGTAATTTAATAAACTGAGAAATAGAGTTTAAAAAAGCCTAAAATGGTCAGACCTGAAGTGCCATGAATACAGAGGGCTCAGTGTATACTTTTCAGAATTGATTTATTTCCCAACAGAAAGGAGAGTGAAGAGCCACAGAACATATAAAGAGCCATACTGGATTAAGCCAAAGTCCTTTTTAGTCCAGTATTCTGTTCCCAGAGTGGTCAACCAATGGCCATTAGGAAATGCAAAAGCGACTGTTATTTGAATAAGCTTTTTTTTTTTCAAATGGGGGTATTATGTACCCATTTAACCATTAGTCATCAGTAACCTTATTATCTATTTGGAATATTGAAATCATCATCACCATCTCAGTATTAGTGAACAAAAAACACCCTTCAATGAAATCCACTCCTTGGGATCTTTCACACCGCAAAATTATAATGCTAAGACTCCACTTTAACTGCCATGATTCCATAGTGTGGAATCCTGGAATCTGCAGTATAGAGAGCTCTAGTACTCACCATCGAAAAGCTCAAAAACGCCATGGGATGTAAACATGGCAAAAAGGCAAAGGTAAAGGTTTCCCCTGACATTAAGTCTAGTCAATTCCGAGACCGGGGCGTGGGGGTGGGGGGGTGGGGTGCTCATCTCCATTTCTAAGCCAAAGAGCTGGCGTTGTCCATAGACGCCTTGAAGGTCATGTGGCCAGCGCGACTGCATAGTGCGCAGTTAGCTTCCCACAGAAGCGGTACCTATTGATCTACTCACATTTGCATGTTTTCAAACTGGTAGGTTGGTAGAAGCTGGGCCTAACAGCAGGAGCTCACACCGCTCCCCAGATTCGAACCGCCAACATTTCAGTCAGTAAGTTCAGCAGCTCAACAGTATAACCCACTGTGCCACTAGCTACAAACATGGCATTTAATATGGAATCACAGTTCTGTAATTGCAGAGTGTGAAAGAATCCATAGTTAACCGCCCTTCATTTTAGTATATAATTTGTGCATGAGTGGGGAAATCATTGTACAACTATTAGGAGTCAAAAATCCATTTTTTTCATGCGAAGATTCAAAGATCAAAGTAGGAGTCCCTCTACACTGCTGGATTAATGCAGTTTGACATCACTTGAATTACCATGACTCAATGCTATGGAATTATGGGTTTGTAGTTTGGCGAGGCACCAGCACTCTTTGGGGAAAAAAACCCCCTAAAAACCTGTAGAAATACAACACCCATGATGCCATAGCATTGAACCATGACACTTCAAATAGTGTCAAATATAATTAATTCATCAGTGTAGATCAGGCAAGGGCAAATTTTGGCCCTTCAAGTGTTCTGAACTACAACTCCCACAATTCCTAACAGGCCCAGGCCCCTTCCTTTCCTCACTCAGCTGCATAAGCAGCTGTGGGGGAAATGAAAGGATCTGAGGCTGTTAGGAATAGTGAGAGTTGTAGTCCAAAACACCTGGAGGGTTGAAGTTTGCCCATGCCTGGTGTAGATGCACCTTAGATGCTCAAGCTACTAATTCTATCTGTCTGTCTACTTGTCTGCACATTTGTTTATGCTCATAAGGGAAATCCACACTATTTTTTTAAAAAAAAGTAAAACATTTATTACATAACTGAAGACCAACTAAAACACATACAAGCTCCACTTTAAAAAATAGCCTTAAAGTAATTAAAATTAAAAACAGATTTATAACAGCCAGTTCAGACACCCCTTAATTTAAATAAGCCAAAACCAAGCAAAATAGCCTAGGCTTCATTGCCTGTCAGACAATTTGGAAGGATGGAGCCAGCCTGACATGCTTTAGGATGGTGTTTTTGGTGTCGCTACAGAGAAAGCCCTACTATACATACCCACTAGCCTTGTGTTATGGGGTGGTGTAACAGGTAATAAGACATCTGTTCACAATCTTAGATTTTGGAAAGTCATATGTGGGAGTTTCATATGGAAAACCACAGACATGAATTTGTAAACAAACATCCTGTTTACAAAATTGCAGGAGAAGAGATTCTGTCTAAACATTAGGAAGAGCCTCGGGATGGTAAGAACGGTTTGACAGTGGAATTCGCTGCCTCCCTGGAGCATGGCGGGGTCTCCTCCTATGGATGGCCATCTGTCAGGGATGCTTTGATTGTGTGTTCCTGAATCACAGGGGATTGGATTGGATGGTTCTTGCACTATCTTCCATATTCTATGAGACTATGATTCTACAGGGTAACTTGGAGGTCTCTCATCCACAGGGTTGCCATAAGTTAAAGATGAATTGATGGCAATTGACAACAAGATATGGTAAGAGGTAGCATTTCAGACAGCATCTTTTAAGAGACACGATGAAAGTGTATCACCTACTTTTGCAACACTTAGACTCTTCCAAAGTTTCCCTGATGCCTCCCCAAGACCAATTACTTTGAGGGGAAAAAAATCAGCACCCAAAGGCTTTCAGGAATTGGGGTTTTGTGCTTGATGTGGCTGGTGGGTTCCAATGCCATCCACCTTAAAAAAACAGACCCAGATATTGGCTAGAAGCCATCTGCACTGTTGATTTCCCCCACACTATTTTTCAACCTACTGGAGCCTGTAAATGGTTCTGGAAAGCTGAAATTGCTCCCTCCTTCCTCTCTTCTAAGCCCAGAGTGCATTACTAGGTATGTTGTGGAAACAAGATATTGGTGGCATAGGAGATGAAGCATTGGAGCAGGTATCCTTGTGATCACAATTGAAGACAGACAGACAGGTGCCTTCTACTCTGCCATATAATCCAATCAAAGCTGATAATCCACATTATTTGCTTTGAACTGGATATTATATGGCTGTGTAGAAGGGGCCACAGGCAGACCTTTCCTCATGTGGAGACTGTGGATCATTGCCTGAGAGAGAGAAAATATTTCGAGACCCCTCTTGTTGTTTATTTGGATTGTTGTTTGGATCCTCAGGTAGATTTTTCTCTCATAGGGGTCTTAAAGCTTTATACAGATTTTGTTTCACACAGAGGGAACTTATGAAGACCATAAAAATGAATATTAAAGGTTTCCCCTGACATTAAGTCTAGTTGAGTCAGACTCTGGGAGTGGTGCTCATCTCCATTTCTCAGCCGAAGAGCCAGTGTTGTCCATAGACGCCTGCAAGGTCATGTGGCTGATACGACTGCATGGAGCGGCATTACTTTCCTGCTGAAGCGGTACCTATTGATCTACTCACATTTGCATGTTTTCAAACTGCTAAGTTGGCAGAAGCTGGGGCTAACAGAGGGAGCTTACACCAATCCCTGGACTCAACTGCTGACCTTTTGGTCAGCAAGTTCAGCAGCTCTGCGGATTAACTCGCTGTGCCATCAAGGGCTCCAATAATTGGTATTCCAGTGACTAATGTATTTAGAAGTTACATTTTTCAGGTAATGATGTTTCTTTTATTTGTAGTAGATTATCAGAATGGCTAAACAGTTCACTTTTTTACAGTTGAGCATTGTGGGTCAACAGTTTGCTAGTTACAAACATTTTTGATCAACTGATTTTTTTAATGGCTTAAATTCATTCATATAAAATGACAATATTTCATGAAATCAGATATTGTCGATATGAAAAGCTGTTTCCACGGACTAACTAGGATGGAAAATCCTATATTAAGCAGCTGAGGGGGGAAAGGAAGGGGCCTGAGGCTGTTAGGAATGGTGGGAGTCCAAAACACCTGGGGGGCTCAAGTTTGCCCATACCTGGTGTAGATGCACCCACTGCGATTGCTTATAGCATGAGTCTCAAAGGACACTAATATTGTTGGAAATAGGCATTAGTTCTATTTAGCTTTTCTTATGGTTCTGATTTCTCCAGATTGTGTGTTCTGCTAGTGGTTATCTGTACTTCCCCTTTCATAAACGGCAGATAATAATCCTAATCCTATGATGAGCCCCTCTGCTGGCAAATCAGGGCAAAGTCATGACCTGCACTCTGCTGTGCGACTGGCAGTTTGAGCTGATCCTGGGTGTTGTGCCAGATCATCGTGGAGCTGCTGTGTGTGACACAGA